CCTGCCTAGCCATGGGACCTACTACTTTCACCCAGTCCCACCTTATAAATGGGGACGCGGGCAAGAAGGTGGGTCCACATCAGGACCACCGTGGTGAACGCCGGAAGCTGGCAGAGTGGGAGAGGGGAAGGGGCTTCTGCTGTCACCTCTGCCACCTTTTAGAGCTGATCAGGAAGATCTGGCTGGCTGGGAGGGGGTCCCCACCATTCACATCTGCTAATAACTTTCTTGGGAAAGCATCATTCTTGCGACAAGAACCATTCAGGCCTTCAAATCGGTTCTCCAGCTTCCCTTCTTGGAGACCATGAAGTCTTTAGAACCACACCTGTCACCTGTTGTTGGACACCTGTAATGCACCTGGGAGGTACCAGTACACACCTGATTGTACCTGGTACAGCTCTCCTGCAAGGTAAGTATGGGAATCATCATCTTACAGAGCTTCAGAGAGGTGAGATGAGTTACCCAAGGTCACAAGAGTAGCAACTGGCAGAATGAAGGGTTAAAGGTCAAGGTCAAGCATATTGGCAATCGTTTAGCCTAGCCACCATGCTCCATCTCCAAAGCCTGGGGCTTAGGCAACTGGAAATACAGAGATGCCCACCTACAGGGTGGATACCTGTCCGGCTTCTTATGCCCAAGCATCTTATGCCGTCACCATCTCTGGGTGAATGCAGACATAGCACCCAGGGTCCTAGGGGTAAAGGCAGGTAGAAGAGGTGGTAGGTTCTCATGGGGTTACCACTGACCACCTGGCTGATAGCAGCTTGGATAGACCTGGAGTAGGGCCCAGAGGCCATCAACTTTGGCAGTAGACTTGGCTGGCACAATGCCTGATGGTGCAGCAAATACCTTTCAGAAAGGCAGTTCTACCAATTGTACCAACCAAAGAGCCACTTGCACCTGCACCTGAGGGGCTTGTCACGTGACCGTGAAAAACATTTGGAAATCTCCACCTTCACTCTTGAGAGGAGTCACTGCCTTATACTACGCACTCATACCGACTCCCGTGGCCTTAGAGCCCTGAGGGGTCACATTTGACTTTTTCCAAGTGTCTGAACAGGATCTGAAGATCCGCAACAGATTCTCATCCAAGAGCTCTAATTAAATTTTTCTGAATTAAAATTCACATGTCTAGAAGCATTCGTAAGGCTATTATCTCTGCAGCGACATATGCTTACGAATAATTATGGTTGTCCCAAATCACCAGAGTGTGGCTTTGAGGCATTAGTGAATCTGACAGCACCATTGTTATGGCTTTTCAAAGTCATGGAATTATGTAGATGGCAGAGGGGTTTAATATGCAGGTGGTTGTCCAGTGTTCATATTCTTTTAATAAAACGCCTTCCATTCTAATGTCTCATGAAAATGTAAATTGTCAGCTTATTACTTACAGGTCTTCAAATGCACAAACCAAGTTCTCCAGGAGTCTTAGGAAGGCATCAGGCTGGCTTCCCAAAGAATGTTCTGTGGCCCATGTTTCCTTTGGTGCACAGTGTGTGTGTGTGCGTGTGTGTGTATGTGTGTGTATACCCATGCATGTGTGTGCGCACGGCAGCGGGAGGAGGAGAGATGATGGGGGTACGGAAGGTGTACTTACTTTATACGTAAGAATTGAAGGTAAAGGTCTTTGTACCCTGGAACTGAGTCAAGGAGTGAGGGGGGACAGCCTGGTCACTGGCGCCCACAGACCAGGCTTCAAATGCTGGTTTTTCCATGTCCAGGCTGCGTGGCCTTGGTACATCACTGCGCCACGGGGCCTCCTCCTCCGGACAGTAGGGCGAACACGGTGAGGGGCATGAGACAGTGTTTGTGAAGTGGCCATCAAAGCCCTGAGCCCCAGGGGACCCAGAAGGGTTGCTTGGTCTATGGCTGCTGTATTACTGGTCCTGCCCTCACCCCAGAACACCCCAGTTTCTCTGGAGATTCTCACTGTCAAGCAGAATGGAGACACTGGTCGCTCTGAAGGTTCAGAAATGTCTCGGCCTTCTGGCAAAAGTACCCCCATCCTCCCTCCAGGGACCAGGACCGCCAGGCTGCTGGGCAGGGATGACACCTGGGGGTGGGGGCTTCCCTGCCTCATCGTCCCTGTGCTGTGACAGCCAGCACAGACACCTGCCAGCCACCAGGATCAGAGGGCTTTCTGCTGAGAGAGAGGAGCATGGCTTTCTGGAAGAATTTCCCCCAACAAATACAGGGCAAAGAACTGGGGCCGGGCACGTCAGACTGGTGGAGCGAGGGGGGAATCACCCCAAGTCAGAAAAACACCGGTCTCTGTGCTCTGCTTCTGATGTGTTAACAGGCCCCCAACCTGTTAGCGTGTCTCCCGCTACTCTAGGTACTCACAGCGCATCCCTGAACCACCTGCAGCAGAGTCTCCTGGAATGCTGGAAAAGCAGCTCCTGCCCCTCTTCACCCTCCTCAGGCTGTCCTGCTGACCCAGAGTGTGGGCTCCCACCCCAGGGCCCCTGAGTGGGGAGCCGCGTCAGGGCCATCTAGGGCAGGCCTGTGTGCATTCTGAACACATAAGCATAAATGTTTCCCCCTGACTAGAACCTGCTGCCAGTGTCCAGGGCCGTGGTGATCAAAGCATCTCTTTGCCTGGAGGCCCTGACAAACCCCACACATGGGCTTTTCAGAGCAGGAGTCATTGTACTGTGGACAGGGGCAAGTGACAACGTCCCCGGTGGCACATAACCGAGGCAGAGGGGTTCTCGGGCTGGGAGAGATGTAGAGTTCATCCTGTCCCATCTCCGCTGCTGGATCTGAAGCCCAGAGTGGCCGGCCTTTAATCAGGACTCGGGCAGCGGTAGGTGGAACCGGGTTTCCGTGTAGGAGACACTGGCTCTCTGAGTCTCGATTCCCTTGTCTGTGAAATGGAAATAATGATATCCACTCTACAGGATAATTGTAAGAGGAGAGATCGTGTACATCAAGTATTTTGCCCAAAGGGGACATGCAGCTGGGAATTATTATTACTGAACCAGGCAGAGAATTCAGACTTTACATAAAATCTCTGAGAAGCAAACGAAATAGATTTTTATCTCTTAATTATCTAGTGGTGAAATTTTACATTGTCCTGAATAATTTTACACTGTGAAACCTACAGAACTTGCAAATAATAATGTTGATCTTGCTGGTTGGTTTAATGATATTTGGCTCTTTTAATAAGTCCTCTCGGGAGAGCCAAAAATGTTAAGACTGAATTTAGCAACATATAGGAGAGAAGACATTTTGGAGAAGCCATTTGGCATCACATAGCAACAATGTGCTGGCATTCAGCTATTTCATTGTTATTATTAGGTGTGAATTCTAAATTCAGGGGTTTTGTCCCCTTAAAGTCATCACTTCCCAAAATAGGTTTCTTCAAAGTGCAGCTTTCCTGAATGCTAACAGCTCCATTTCCCTTTTGGGGCTGACAAGGACACGAGCAGAAACGAGGCCACGTTCTCCCACGAGGTCAGAGGGCAAGGGTAGCCACTGGTTCTGGAAACAGAAGGCCAAATAGTGGGAGGGGGGTGCTTCAGAGTGGGTTCATTAAGGGTCTGTTAAAGAATGGGGCATTGCAATGGAGTCTGGAATCCTACCAGCTTTCTCCTCCTTCCCTTTGTAAACTAGTCCTCAACAGCCTCGACCCAAAGAGAGCCAGGGAGAGCACACAGGTTGGCCGCACAGAGCGACAGCCCCAGCCCAGTCCTTTCTGAACCTGGGGCCACCACTGCCTGCCCCAGGGAGCATGCAGGTGCCAGATCCCAGTTAGAAAGCAGGCACTGGACCTTCTGCTCTCGTTACGGGCTGTGTGACGCTGGGCAACCCCTTCTACTCTCTGGGCCTCAGTGTCCTCATTTGGCAGTGGGCATGGAGAGGGTACCTTGGGATCTCCGAGCTGTGGCCTTTTCTGTCTTAGATCAGTGCTGGATAATATCCAAATATGGCCAACAGCGCTGGACACGTTTGAGAAAGAATAAGTGGCTTGATTTGGGGGGGAATTCCATGTACACAGAGGAAAAGGCTTGTACTTCCTCACAGCTGGCATTAGCACCACTGAATGGAGTCGTTTGAGGGGCCCAGGGCGACTTTCAGAAAAACACCCCTTGGATACATGGGCTGTGTTTCCCGTGGGTCATGAGGTCACTTTAGGGTACCCTGACCGCTGCTGTGGCCAAGGGCCACCAGGACCACAGCCCTGGGAGGAGGCCTTTGTCACCTGCAGATTCTTCTTGATGCAAGACGTACTCTGAGCTTGGTAGAACGCTGGCAAAATTATACCCAGCCCTCCCTCCCAGGCGACTTTCTTAGGAGGGCAGAGCTGGATTTGAAGCAAAGAGTCTCTTCTCATTGTACAGATGATCTTCTTTTTTTTTAATATTTTATTTATTTATTCATTAGAGACAGAGAGAGAGAGAGGCAGAGATGCAGGCCGAGGGAGAAGCAGGCTCCATGCTGGGAGCCCAATGCGGGACTCGATCCCAGGTCTCTAGGATCGGGCCCTAGGCTGAAGGCAGGTGCTAAACCGCTGAGCTACCTGGGCTGCCCAGAGATGGTCTTATTCAACCACCTTGCTTTTCATATAAAACCCAAAAGCCCAAGGAAGGGAAATGACTTGCCCAGGGTCACACAGCAGGACAGCAGCCGAGTTGAAGGCAGTGGCCAGGACACTGTTAGTCACTAGCCTATGTCTTAGGTGAGCCTGGGTTCCAGAGTCAGACCTGCCTGGGTTCAAATCCTGCCTCTACAGTTTACTGGCTGTGTGACCTTAGGCAAATTACTGAACCTCCTTGGACATCTAAAATGGAAATAGTCCCCTGCCCACCCCGGGGCTCCACGAAGTCACACGGGTAAAGTGCCCAGTTACGTGGGGAGCTGGAATGAACCGAGTGCCTGGTGGATGTCCACCGTCTGTTACTGCTGCTGCTGGAAACTGCAGTTGGGGCAGCCCCAGAGAAGCTGAGGCTGGGCCGGGAGGCCGTGCTCTGGGTAACGGCCTCCCTGTGTCTCCGCAGGCTGGTGGAGCTGTCCGCCTCGGTGCCCATCGGCTCCCACTGGGGGGTGCTGTCCAAGTGCTTGGCCTACAGCAAGGCTGCCTCCGACCCCTTCGTGTACTCCTTACTGCGACACCAGTACCGCAAAAGCTGCAAAGAGATTCTGAACAGGATCCTCCACAGGCGCTCCCTCCACTCCTCGGGCCTCACAGGCGACTCCCACAGCCAGAACATTCTGCCAGTCTCTGAGTGAAGGACGCCGCTCTGGCCGGAGACTGAGGAATGAGGCAGCTGGTGAGAAGCGGGGAGGGAGGGCTTGGGGTCCTGGGTGGACACCGCCAGCTGCCACCCACCTGGCCGGCCCAGCCATTCCGGTTCCCTGGCCTACAGGGCCTCTGAAGCCTGCTTCCTGGTTCCTCAAGGGCAGAGGTTGGATGGTCCCTATTTTGCACCAAAGGATGAGCATGGTTACTCGCTCTGGCCTTTCTTTCTGAAGCTCCTTTGAGCTCCCGGACTCACCAGAGACTCCCCAGGAGTGACGCTGAGGCCGGTCATGACCAAGGACACATGGTGCTGGTGGCAGGTGGGGAAGCAAGGCATCCTTCCTAACCACTAGGCGTTGGGCTCCATGCTGAAGAAAAGCAGTTGTCTCCACGGGACATTAATCATGCTGAAAGTCAGGTTGGCGGTGGCCATTTGGCCTTACATCCAACGTGGCTACTCTTCTCCACATGGTAGTGGTGGCTGCTTTAACCCAAATATTATCCAGCTGGTACTCTCTGAATTGTGCTCAGCTGGGACTCTTGGGACCCTGAGCCCAAGGTGAAAATGTTTAACAGCTAGCGGCTACCCAATTGTTGCCGAGCAGCAGTCTCAGAAATGGTTAAACTCTGGTTCCCCACCTCCCCCCCCCAAAGCTAACGTTTGTGTGTGTAGACAATCTTAGCATGAAAATGGTTTAAATAGGCAGGTAATACATGTAATAATGTTCTTGGAGGTCTGACCTTGAAGTCACCTTCTTCTGATTCACACGTCATAACTGTTGGAGCCGAGGGGAGGCAGGAGGAAGGTGGCTGCCTGGGGCCCCCACCTCTGGTTGTGACCTGAATTTGCAGGAAGACTTTCACCTTGTCTCACACATCTTGTTCCACACACCCTGGGAGATGCACCCACCAGAACTGACCTGAGCAGGGTTTTAGCGTTGGTTCTAAAGCACTGGGTCCCATTATCCTAGTAGGCTCCATATCTAGTCTCCTTGAGTCTATCAACAGAAAGTAGAAGCTGTCCCAGGTGACCAAGAAAGTACCCTGTGCTCATCAAGGGAGAGTGACATTTTTATTGAAAACTATAACTTCAGTACCTATGCCAATCCATTAGCAGCCCCATCTTGATTTATGAAAAGCCAAGGTGAGTGGGCCATGCTTTCTGCCCATCTGTCTTTGTTTATCATTTCAGATGACGTGTGAATGCTAAGAGCAGCTATTTCTCTGTCCTTTGTTCTGATGCCTACAGGGTAGAAAGGATGGGAAGCGAGCGACAGACTCCGATGGCTCATTCTCTCTTTCCAGCTCTGGGTGTCTTAACTTTGCAAGTGCAGTGGCGGAGGGGTGGGGAGGACACAGTCCAAGAGGGACCAGGTGGGAAGAGCCGGATACTGTTTTACTGCCGGGGGGCCCCAGAATGGAAGAGGTGTGTCGTGCGTATCTACTTGAAAAGATATTGTCTTCTTTTACCTTAGCTCTTCATTTAGAAAACAGAGAGCTGAGCCTGGCTGGTCTTGCCTACTTACAAGGTTTTCCTGGAGACTAGAACAGGGACAGATGTAGCTTCCAAAGCCTTGGCACCTGTCAGATGTAGTTGGAGGTGTGCTCACATCTGCCTGGAGCAGTCAGTGGGGCACATCCTTTCCTAGTCCTGTGTTCAGGGACATCATGTTGGTAGCTTCAAATCAGCCACGATGGGAATATTTGTGCCAAGAAAATTAGCAAAGCCTACAAACCAGGACTTTTTGTATGGTGAGAGCTGATTGTTCTGCATCTACCAGCACACCACTGCCCAGACGTGACTTTGTGTGTTACGGAAAACTTGCTCTGATTCATAGCACATTAGTTTGAATCAAGTTTGACTCACGGCAGACGTTCATTTCTGTGGGACTTTCTTAGTGACAAGGAGCTGTTCGCCACCCACCTTGTCCCAACACCAAAAGTACCCATGAGGTCGAAAACAAGTATGTATCCAAGAAGATATACACAATTTAATCTGACAGTCTCCCTTTTCACACAAATTTTCTCAAAATTGGGTGACAGAGGGCTAGTGACCTAGTAGATGAGGCCAGTAGACAGTCAAGTTCAAGCCGCAAAATATGTTTTCATCGATGTGACTATGTCAGATCCTCTTTCTGCCTGCTCTGTGTAGGCAATATATTATACTCCCAGAAGCAACTGGATCTCTTTTACCTCTTCTTGAGCTAAGAAACAAAAGATCTGTCATCCACACCACCATGCATCCTAAAAAGATACATGTTGGAATTTTGGCCAAGCATCTAGGACTGCTAAAACAAAACAAAAAACCCCACAATAAAACCAGTTGTATTGGCATCATGGAGATGAAAGCCCAGATAAGTTAGCTGAGCGGGTGTATCTACTATTGTTCAGACAGGCATTGAAGGCCAAGGAGAAGTATGGAGGAAAACACTGCATTAGCGGTCAGCACCAACCAAGTCTGCTCTAATTACCTGCAGATGAATGTCGGTATTCATCTCTACCCAGTCTCTAAAATTTTCCCCTGGCTTCATTATTCCCAGGTGAATTATCTACCTCATTTGGTAATTTGATTTATCCAACGTGACATGGGTTTCTCAGGTAAAACACTCCGAAACAGCAAGATCAGCAGGCCTGGGAAGAGTTACTTGTCCTCAGTCTAGTGTGAGGCTCGATGTGTAGGGCCCAGACTCTGGTGGACAACTGGACCAGGTGGGAAAGCATATTGGGAAGTTTGGAAATGAAGCCTGGCCGGGAGGGACCATCCGATTCCTAGCCCCACACCGTTTCTAGCCCTACGTGATCTGAGATGTAGGTCAAATCCCCACCCCTGGTGGCTTTTTTTAGACACTCTGCAACTATTCCAGCTTTTTCTTGCACTTCTTCTCGAAGGAGAGAGGACTTCTGGGCCCTAGGACCCCCTAAGGATCTGCCAGCTCAGACGAGGGTCATGGGGTTTGTGTGTCTTGTGGTCAGCCGACCCCCCTTAGATATGCCACCAAGAGCCAGCCTGTTTTTACTTAGAAATCGGCTGGGTCATGAGGGAAGTTGACTGCAGCCACCTGGTCCCAATGGTCCATTCTTTCTGGGATTCACTTCAGTCTTCTGAGCTGTCGCCCTGAGCAATAAAACTCTCTCCTCGTGTTTATGAAATTAGTTTTCTCTTTCATGGTGCCTTTCTCTCTGAGAGAAGACAGAACAGGCCACACCCATGTCCTGGTTGCCACCCATTTACACACGTGGGGGCAGGTAGACGATGCCTGTGGTGTGTCCTCTGGCTGTGCATTTCTAGAATTTCATCCAAATGCAGGATGACCCAGGCAGCCTATGGTCTGAATGAGACTATTTTATCAGGTGCCAGAAATTCCTTGCATTGGCTCCTTTCCTTTGGACCATGAGCATCACAGGGAGGAGCAAGGTCCTGGCTATATTTGCAGCTCCCATCCCCTTTCTGGAAGGTCTAAATCATCTGGAATAGAGCCTTTGGCCCTTGAGCTTCTTTTATCCACAAGAATTGCCAAGGGAGCTTGTTTAAAATGCAGATTCCTATACTCCCTCCTCAGAGATTGGTCCTAGGAGGTCTGGGCAGGACCCGGGACTCTGCATTTTCAAACCTCCACGTCCAGGTGACTGCTGCAAGGGACCTGCCCACTCCTCCCTGAGAAAGGTGGCCCTGGAGACCTGGATAAACTCCATGGAAAACTGCACCTTTCTAAATATCTGTTTCATCCTGTATCTTTCCCCAGTTCTCCAGAGAGTTCAATCTCCAGCCTCATTTAAGGGTTGAGTCGTTTCGTTCTCAGAGCAACAAAGCGCTCACTCCATGAAATTCTAAAAACCCATCCTCAGAGGACTCTGGTGGAACCCCTGCCACCACCCCTCAGAGGTATTTGCAACATAGCCTCATTCCATTCCATGGGGCTCCCGGGTAGTAAATGGGGGTGTACATGGCGCATCGGCAGAGCATGGCGGCACCAGCTGGCTCTGGTCACTTGGTTAGAGAGAAGGAAGCTGGCACCCAGAGGGGCCCACAGGGACACTTCCCTGGGTCTCGACCCCACCTCTGCCTGGGCAGCCTGGCCGTGGGAGCTGATGGCGTCCGGCCCCTCTGCCACTAACCGCAGCGCCCTTCCCACCCAGCCTCACACCCCAGGAGTGGAGCCAGGCTGAGGCCAGGCCAGAGGGAGACACTGCTGGATGCTTACCCCTGCGTGTGGGTCTTTTTAGGGTTCCTCACTTCATTCAGCAAGGCTGACCCTGCCAGGTGCCCCAGGAGCAGCTCCTTGTAATCACAAGGGTCCATAGTCCTAACAGCTGGTGTGTACTGAGTGAAGCCTACATGCCAGGCACAGCACTGAGTGTTTTCGGGTAGTGTTCCCATGAATCCTCACCATAACCCTAGGACATAGGTACTATCATCTCCTTTTCAGACCTCTGGGAAGATCAGTAAGTCCTGGGGCAGCAGGTAGAGAAATTTAAGGGGCAACGCAAAACAGAGGCATGGTCTGTTAGTCTCCGGAAGGGTAGGCTAGTGCCGATGGGACATCCCTTGCTGCACCCAACTCGGGGCATCTTTCCATCATCAGCAGAGGACACCCTGCTCCCAGCTTCTGTGCTAACACCCACACCCACCAGCTGGGCCCCAGGGCCCCTCTCATCCCATGGCCACCACTGGCTTGGAAGGGACTCTTTTGGATTTCTCTTTCTCTATAGTGTTTTTAGAAGAATTTGGGGACCAGGGGGCGGGGCTGAGCAGCAACCTCTGCACCCAGGATTTATGGTTCCCAGGTCCCTTGTCACCTCCAAGAAATCTGTCTAACTAGATGTCTTAGGTATCTGAGGGTTCGCTGTCAACCTGAATTTTCCTGAAACTCTGGACCAATAGCCCTATGACATCAGAACAACACAGCGCTGCCCTGGCACCAAAGTCAACTTCTTCATGCCCTGAAGCCAAAAGGGTTTCTGTGGAAGACCCTGGTGTTTGCTTAGGACC